GACTTTTCCCTCCATCCATCCATCCATCCATCCATCCAATCACTCTCTAAGCGGCGTGTTGCATCACAACTTCGACAACCGCAACACCATTCTCTCACGCCGACTTCATCATTCCTACAACCTACTGATCGCGATACACTCTCTGTTTGGGAAGATCACTCTTTTTCTCCCATCCTATTATAGCACACTGTTCCTTTCCATTCATTCACTCACTTGATAATTCGTGCCGAATCCTTTTTTCCCAATCCAGTCGTAACCTGTTACCTCCAGCTGTGCAGCCTTATTACTCCTGCAGCCCCTGCGTTTGCACCTAGCTGGTCTCTAACACTCCTACTCTGGAGTACGACGTCTCGGTCGCAAAGAAAAAGAATTAAGACAACTTTATTAGGTCTCCAGTGTCCTCAGTTCACGATAGCATCGGTAATTCACGACCTCGCCCTTTAACACTAACAGTTGAGCGGGCGGCGCGCAAGACAAGAGCCCCGGAGATTTCCATTAATGTGCTGAGTTGGAAGCTTAATATTTTCGATGCTGAGCATTGATATTTTCTGAGATCTCTTCTCAAAACTAGCCTACGGAATATGGGTAGGGTATCTGACTATGTGTCCCGGAAATCGGGTTCGTTTCCCAACTTCATGGCTCGAAAAAGCGAGGCCTACCTACCAATATCCACGAAGCCACAACCTAAATTCAGGGTCAAGGCTATACTCGGTAATTGTCTTTATCGGAGAGTAGTTATATGGACTTTCCTCGCCATTGCCCTGTTGTCATTCACTCTCTTTAACCCTGGATTCGCTGGAAGGCCACGGGATGTACTTGACTTAGTACATGGGAGTAGAAACGGTGTTAATGAAGCTCCCCAAGTCACCGACAACATAGTCCTGCAAACGCAGGATAGTCAAGATGGTGTCCACATACAGGACCCAGTAGAGGAGGAAAAGGAGCCAGTTGAAGAGATGCAGAAGCAAAAAGAAGAGAAGGAAGAAGAGAAGCCAGCGGATAAAAAGGAAGAGGAAGCCGAAGAGAACGCCAACAGTCCCCATTGGCTCAGATACAAGCAGTAAGTTACGAGCAGACTTGTCTAAGAGAATCCAAGAACTAGATTGCTAATAATGAATCTAGTCTCGATGGTTATTACAATGGTCTGAGGTCGCTTGTGTCATTCTCGGACTACAAGCCAGAGTACCCTGAAGTATCGTCCACAGGCAGAGCATCTGAACCTTCACCTACTGTTCACCATTCTAAGCAACCCAAACCTAGTGTATATCGTCCTCATCCAGACTATGATTCCGACGAGTATCAGAAAACATATGTTCCTGTGAAGCGATGTTACATTGACGAGAATGATAAAGTTCCCGCTCCGGACTTATACGCATACAGTGGTGTCCCTCAAGGTCAGCCTAAAGCAGCTATTGGGTCTTACGATCTCCTAGGTTTGCGAGAAGATGTCTGTTTCGATCGCTTTGGCCGGTACGGACCATATGGCCTTGGATATGACTTGGAGGCTGGCGGGACGGGTGAAGCCCTCGACACCGAGCGCGAGGGTAGCGAGGCGGTCTGGGAGAAGACTGGACAAATCAATTATGAAGGCGTCGATTGGGGCTTCGCACAAGAGCGTTGCTACGCGGCGAATGAGAACCGATTTTTCACTGGTAACGAGACTAGAGATTTCGAACTGGCTCAGGCTGGTCGTAAGAGACTCGATCGCATTGCTATAGTTGTGCGAACTTACGTCGGATTCCAGTGGACAAGTCATGCCTTACTCAATTTCCGTGCCATGATCAATGAGCTTAGCTTACGATCTGGTGGTGAGTATGATGTTCATTTTCTTTTACATGTTCGCGACAACAATGCACCTATCTGGGCAGATCCAGCCACGGTCCAGAACATCCTTGATGTCAACGTTCCTCCCGAGTTCCACGGACTTTGCACTCTCTGGTCTGAAGCTCAGATGAAACTGTACTATCCGGGTAACTTTGGCGATACCTTTGAAAACCCATCCAACGGTGATATTCATGGGGTTTACCGATCTGCACACATGCCGCTTCAGCATTTTGCGATGATGCATCCTGAGTACGCTCACTTCTGGAACTGGGAGATGGATATGCGCTGGACCGGGTCGTATTACGAGTTATTCGATAGGCTTGGCAAGTGGGGTGCGGACCAGAGCCGAGAAGGTATGTGGGAACGGGCAAGCAAATATTATATTCCCGGGTTGCACGGCAGCTGGGACAACTTCACGGAGCTCGTCCGCCATGAAACTAAGCAATCTGGAAAACGACCGATCCTAGGTCCGGTGGTTTTCACTGGCAAATCTGGCCTCCAACAAGGAGAGGTATTCCTACCATCGAGCTGTTCGAGTGGATCAGATATGTCACAATGCGGAGTTGGCGAGGACGCGGACCTCATCACACTTAACCCGCTTTTTGATACCGATAACTCTGGTTGGGTGTTCGCTGGTGATGTGACCGGCTACGACATGCAGTATGAGAAGCCTCCGCGAAGGTGCGCTATTGTGACTGCTTCCCGTTTGTCGCGTCGCCTGTTGAGAGTGATGCATGAGGAAACATGGCGTCTACACCATAGTATGTTTAGCGAGATGTTCCCGCCTTCGATGGCATTGCACCATGGTCTCAAAGCCGTATATGCCCCTCACCCGGTTTACTTGGACCGAAAGTGGCCTCAGGAGGAAATTGAAAAGGCTTTCAATGGTGGCCAAGACCACACTTCAGGCGGCCATGGCTCTCCATTCGACCTAACAAACGAGCATAACCATAAGGGGACGAGCTGGTACTACAATAGTGAATTCGCCGGTTTGTTGTGGCGTCGCTGGCTTGGTTATGCCCAGATGGATGGCAGAGGCAATAATGGTGGCCGTGCCGGCGAGGGTACCAAGAGAGGCGGGCGCAAGGAGGAAGAGAACCCAAAGAACTCTGGCCGACTATGCCTACGGAGCATGCTCGTACATCCCATCAAGTGGGAAAATCCTGCCGAGCAGGAGTAAAACTAATAGTAATGTGAAGAAGGCCCGGTTTCTTTTGTGTGAGTAGAGGAGCTTGTTGATGTACGACAACAGTCAACCGAACGGAAATATAGAATGAGGCAACCGGAATTAGGACATCAGAGGAGTAAAGACCTACGAAGAACCATTCATCATGCCTGGTACAGGGTACCACGAGCAACGGCATTTTACGGGCGTTCGCATATGAGGAGTCCGGTTTTTCAATTTCACTGCTTCCATCGTCATTTAGTCGATGTTATTAGGCTTCTTGCCCGAGAGCAGAACTCGACCCTGTTTGAGCAAGACACCTGCCATATTGTTTTTTTGGGTTCGGCGCATAGCCCATTTTGTACATTCATACGACACCAGTAGTAAGCATGGCCCATTTGCGCGAACCTATTATAGTCGGGGCCAGAAGCTAGGAGGAACCTACACGACGCGGAGTTAAGTGTCTAACATGGCGGAGATGTGTAGTTGCTCAATGTATGTATATAATGTAATATCAGAAAAGAGCTTTTGCTATGTAACTAGCTTCTTGTGATTGCATGTATTATATTGTCTAAGTGATAGTGCCAATGACGCAGCTATTCAAATGAAATTAAGATAAGTGACTACTAATAAGGAAGCTAGCCTATGATATACTCACTGCAAGCTAAATAGAAGAAGTCAGATTTCTAGTAGCAGAGCGTATCTCGAGTCGTAAAATATACATATCAACTAACTATGTATGGCTTATTAAAAACTACTACTTTCCAGGCGCACGGACAAATTGCCCTACCCTCGGGGAGGGGGGGGGGCTGTTTCACCAGATGATAGGTGTTAGACTAAGTACCTAACATAGCAGCTTACTATTATCATCATTAAATACCCATCCATCTTGTTTCTCTTCATCTCGAGTTACTCTAGACAAGACAGCACCGGAGAGCATTTTACGAATTATGAAGTAATATGCTAGGTATGTACCTAGGTAGTTAAGCACAACCACATAACATCTTACAAAGACTTGGAAGCTTATATGAACAATGGAAAAAGACCGTCGCAATATATTTCTATCGTAACATATCGACCCATCCCTACCCTTCGTTTCCTCGTTCCGACGCCTCATCGACTCATGACATAACATGACATGATATGGCTGATCATCCGACGTCCGCCTACGGCTTCTCGAATTCCCGCCCCGCCGTCTCTTGGGTAGTTCGCCTAAGACATAGCGAGACAAAGAGAAGAGGACTGGTTTCCGGTATACACGCATGGGAGAGAATATCGCTATATCAACCCAACCATCTGAAACCCTTCCTTCCCCTCGGAAACAACCAGAACGGAATATATAAACAAGAAACGTGGGGAATGGCTATTCAACTCAACCCCCCGATGCGAGATCCTTGACAAAAATGGTTATTCGTCCATTTTCCAAAACAGCGCACGCGCCGCGGGGAGAAGAAAAAGACGAGTAGCCAACGTCAAATACTTCATATAAGCAAGCAAGCAAGCCCGCCTATTACGAGATGATAAAATCCAGGAGTCTACTTCAGACGCATAACCAAATCAGACGTAAAATAAAGACGCCTAATCGGGCTATCCGGGGTGGTTGATTGTCCAGAATTACCAGATAGGTTAGTCCCGACCTGGCCCGGTCCGGGAGTCAGTCGAAAGCACTCCGACCTCGGGAAGAGCGGGATCTTGAGATGGGGTGAATAGGGGTAGGGGTAGGTATATGTATAGGGGGTACATAGTTAAGGTATGTAATGAGGCCGGAAATCAGCTGGTATCGGGGCGTAGATAAGGGAGCCGAACGCTATACATAGAACACCCGTCAACGCCATTGAACGCCACCGGCCACCAGCCTCCAGGACTCCTAATGAGAAAATTAAAGTGATCAACCGGATGAAAGCGACATTTTAACAGTGCGAGACTGGGAGTGATATATAGAGAATGAGGTTATGATTGGAAAACTTCAGCTGTCACGGCCGCCAGCAGTTGAATTTGAATGCACTCTCCTTTACTTCCTAAGGACCGCGTCGTAGACGCTCAAGACGCCGGTGATGGCAGTACCGGTCAGGATACCCCTATAGCCGCCATATATGGCCGTGTTGATGCGAGCAATCGACGTCTCGTCTATCCAGCCACCAAATGTAATGCCTTGGCCGTAGACCACATAAGAGATCAAAGCCTTGGCGATGCTAAAGGTCAATGGGTCTACAACCGAGTCCAACGCGTGCGAGCGGCGACCCGGACGACCGTGGTTGGAGTTGATAGTCAAATTGAAAAAGTAGCCGGCAATGCTAGGCAGGACAGCGCTCGTGAAACCCCAGAGAAGTGCAGGAGACCAGAAGGACGAGGTCAAGAGCAGGAACATATCAGGGACGAAGACTGGGAAGTCCCTCGTGCCGAGAAAGGTGATGGCGGGAACGGTGAACGCATATCGGTCGGCTAGTATTTCGGGACGCAAGAAATAGAGCTCAAACGCGGATATAACGAAGAGCACCGAGGCCACGGTTGACAAACTTTCACGCGTTGCTTGGGTGGCCTCCGTGATTCCCGACTCCTTGTATAGAGCCACGACGTGCGTCCTGACAGCGACGGTAGAGCGGTCGACGGCTTCGGCAACATCTGCGGGAGTGGCAGGAAGCGGGATGCGGCTTGCAAGAGAGAGAGCACGCCCGGGGGTATGCGCGAGAGCGGTGGCGGTGTTTGTAGGCTCATCATCATCAGACCTATAAGCTATTATTAGTAGACGGGTCGAGATGCTCGAGATGAGCGGCACACAGCTATTGCGAACCGCGACGTGACTTACTCTGGAGCAAGAATCTCCTCGGCAGCCTTGGTTACTCGTCGTCTAGCAACCTTTAGCCTCTCTACGGCGCCCTCGGGAGCATCCCTCTTGACTGGGGACCCGGTAGTTCGGGCGCGGCTGGAGAAGTAGTTGGCGAGTTTAGGGTCGGACGAGAAGGTAGACGAGTTCTCGGCCAAATACTCGTCGAGGGCAAGTTCGAGCTCGGTTTTCTTTAACGATTCGTAACTATTTTTCGCAAACAAAGGGAAAACGTGTTAGCCATGTTATTCTTGTCTCGGGTCGGCACGTGGGGCCGAAGAATGTTATCTCATCATTCCGCATTCCAGACGGGACGGGAAATGGTCATGTAATAATCTACCTATATAAGTGTTGTCTTAGAGCGTACCAACGCCGAGTCGCGAACAAACCTCACGACGACACAAATATAACAGACTTCGAATTGGGGACAGAATTGAGGGGTTGGTATTCTAGTAAAGTAATACATACTTCCTGAGACCTGTGTACTGGGCAAGCTCAGTCAAATCAGTCTTTCGCTGCCTCTGCAGCCAACTGTTTGCGCCGGACATCGTTGGATACAGGCCTGTAGCTTTGCTTGAATTGGTATAAGCGGTGTCGCGCAGGGTAGGCGATTAAGATGCAATAATTTTTAAGAAGTTAGCAGCTGGTGGTCCGTGACGTAGCTAGGGGGGGGTTTAAGTTGCTAAGACGAGGCTTATATTGATGGTGGTGATGATATGGAATGAGATATGAGAGATATCAGATTGCGCCGTGTTGCGAAGGGCGCGTGTGTACGTAGCGTAGCGGTAGTGTGATGGAGGCTGGAAGGGGGAAAAAAGACAGGGAGGATTTCCCGCGGTGGTGGCTTGAGTTGTTTATGTTTTCTTATTCTGTTTTATCTGTTGACGTGCAGGTGCAGGTGCGGGAGCGCCTAAGGTCTACCTGCTAATCAAGCTGCTGCTTTCCTGCCTGACCTTGCTTTGGGGGCAGCGGGCTACTAGGATCCGCTTGGGGTTCGCTCTTGACCCCCCAGAATACGGTACTTCTCAGGCAGTCAGGGTACCTAACCTAGGTATGTATTGTGCCTAGATTTAGAGGTGCCTTAGCTAATACGCTGATACGTCAATAATAGGAAAACGGGATATCGATGCACGGTGCACCGATTGGGAAATACATACAACGTCGTGATTTGCTATGTCGAGGTGTCATCGTCCCATTTTACTTGTTTACTCCCTGTGGACTGTGGAGACCGAGTTCTCGTCAATGAAAAACGCGCTGCCACGTCTTACATAGTATGTAAAGAAATTCGAATTTTTCAAAAATTGGGGCGTTGGACGTGTCAATAGGGATCCTTGATTTTTTTTTTTTTTTTTTTTGAAGATGGTTCTTTTTTTTATGTTTCTTCATGTGAAAGGGTCTTTGCTAATGTCCCTATTGTATGACTTATGCTTTCTAGAGATGCTCCCATATACAATAGATACCTACCTACCTAACCAAACTAATGTCGAATAATAGAGCTCTTCCCTCTTACACGACTCATGAATCGATACAATTGACAAACCTCTCGCTGCCTCTCTTAACCAATCTCACAGGGATATACTTATCCCCATGTAGCTTTAACGTAATATAGCTTCTAGCCTCTTTCACTGTGTCCCTCGATTTCTCTTGCGCCAGTTTGTATAAGCTCGCCTTCTCGTATTGGCTCATATTCGCGACCTTTTCATCGCTCGCCCACTCGTCTACTGCGAGCTCGATGCTATACTTCTGGAAGATGACTGCCAATGCCGATACTAGCTCCACGATTGCTACGCGGCGACCCAAGCACGCTCGTGCGCCGTCTGAGAAAGGGATGAACGAGCCCCGCGGCGGGCGATACAGCTGTGCGCTCGTATCAGATCCGGTGTAGCCGCCAAAGTCCTCCGTGTCCCCGTTTTCGACTGCAGTGCTACTGCCCTTCGTTGAATCCGTTTGGAACCATCGCTCAGGAACGAAGTCATTAATGTCCGTCTCAGCACTAGTGACCTTACTTGGCTTAGTCGGCCAGTATCTCGGACTGCGCTGTGCGGCTGCGACCACTACGCCAATAGATGAGTCGCGAGGGAGTACGTGTCCCACTCCTTGTATCGTGATGGATTGGTCTTGCGCCGGGGTTACCATCTTCGGTATATCCACTACAGGCGGTAGTAAACGAAGTGTTTCGTTAATAACAGCACCAACCATTGAACCCAGTAGAGGGTTCAGACACGCGTCATAATCCCACGTCTCTGCGTCCGTGTTTCCTAGAAGGTTATCGATATCCCGTTGCAATCTCCTTTGAGAAGCCGGACTAGATGCTAGGTAGGCGAGTGTAAAATGGAGAACGTTAGCTGTAGTCTCATGTCCTGCTACTATATTCACAAATGCATTGCCTATGATTTCCGAGTCCGATAGTCGTGCAACTGAGGTTCCTTTTTTAGTTGATCCGTTGGCTGGCACATCTCCGTAACTTGTGCGGACTAGCGAGCCCATTATATCAAGACCCTGTTCCGCGTTATTTCCTTTCTGCACGTCTTCGATCTTTTCCTGCAAGAATTCGTTCATGTAGCCTAAGAAGTTCGCTTCTGCTTCCAGAGCCTGTTTTGCGTGCTCGTTAGGGATAATTTTGAGTATCCATTTCGGCGCGATCAGAAGGAGGATGAGATATTTCAGGGTACGAGCCAATGCTTCTACGAAACTCAACGTATGTCCTGGAGGCGGTTCGTGAGTTCCGTACTTGGTTAATCTCGGGTCGGCGTCGGGCGGGAACTCTTGGCCGGGCCAGAGGATCTTGAGGCCGAATCCGATGTTTGCGATGATGTTTAGCATGAGAGATGCTGTATCGTGCTCGAGAGTCTTAAATGTCTTGTTTCCCAAACCATCGGAGCCGAGCCAGATGTTAATCAACCCCTGCGTCTGGCTGATACACTCCCTGAACACCAATGCGGCATTCCTCTCGTTGAAAGAAGCCGATGTAATCTTGCGGTGCATGCGCCAAGCGGCGCCCTCAAGCGTCACTACATTCTGGCCATATTGCGCAAGAATAGCATAGGACTTTGTCGGCTTCGGGAAGGCCTCTCGCTTCGACGTAATCTGGTGAATTGCCTCTGCATTTTCCGTAAAACATATGATTCTCCCTGGGGAAACAACCAAAAAGGTATCTCCGAGTTTAGCGAATATTTTGTGGTTCTCCGCGTACTGCCAGTTAGGATTCAAAATACTAATATTGCGTGCATTAGATTACTGAGTAACATTAGTGGGATTTGCTTAGATTGCTCACGGTTCAATGTCTTCCCAATATTTGCGAGGAAGAAGTCTGAACAAGCGGGACCAAAATTTATGAAATATTTGACCTATTCGGTTCCATGGACTAATAGCTATAATAAAGAAAGGTTAGTTTGGCGACCTGAGAATATTTAGGAACAAGGAGGAAAGTAGCAGTTGAAATGGTTAGGATTTAGTTGACTTACGAACGACGAAGTAAGGGAAGCCGGATCGTTTAGCGGCGGTAATGTTGGCTCTAAGCCCCGATACGATATTGAATACAAAGTATATAACCGCTGCACCTAGTAGCAATAATATTGTTGAAAACATGACGATGGCTTATTGAACCCCGCTAATACTTTCGAGCGTGTTGCCCGCCGGGGGCGAGACTATGCAAGTGTATGTACGGATTAGTTATAGTTATGTAGTTACTATAAGTGTTCGACCTATATCTGAATAACTAGAACCTGAATATTCTTAGGATTGAGGACGACTTTATCAAACAGGGGTCGACCAAAAAAAACAAGCTGTTAAAATGTTAATGCATAGAAGAAACGACACGAGACAAGAAAATATTTTGCGCAGTTTACTTGAATATTATAGCAGGTAGTTAGGTAGAATAAGTATCTAGATTTAGGGGGCGAGTGATGGATATACGCGACTGACTGTTCGGCCCTAACGTTTCGGGACCCTGACATCCCGAGCGCTATTCCAAGATCCTTCCAATTGTGATCCCGTCCAACGGCGAATTCCCCGGCTGACTTCTACTCTTGGAGGCTCGGGGAACGGCTATCTTTTTTGGTCTTATTAATAGCCTTTTTGTCGTTGGAACCCCGCAATTTCCCTTGTTTCAAGGTTTATGTTTCAAGTACTATGACGTTAACGACTTATACAATTATACTTACCTAGGTAGGTAACTACGAGGAAATAAACCATTTTATGACTTTGGAACTAGGTAGTTAGGGAATTTATGACTTAGGTAACTATGTAGTTAACTAAATGTAAAAGTAGTCTAAGTATTAGGTAGTTATACAGATTAAATCGATCGAACGAGCGCCACTCTTTTTTAGGGAAGCATATCGTGAGCTGAATCCTTGGTAGCGATGTAACTAGGTGTGGACGTTGTAGGCCTCGAGTCAACAGTTATTTGCTGGATTTGGAATGTGACCCGTGAAATAGTTGTTACACCCATTTTAGAATTTCGCCTGTTCGCCTCTAAGACTGGATCGTTACGTGCATAATTACATTGGTATGTTACCGAGGTTGAAAGAAAATATATACTATTTTAAAGTCGTCTGTTTATCTGTTTAGTGACTATTTTGTTACGCACGGTAGTGCTACCTCTAGTGGAGAGATCCATTAATACCGTTTAGATCTTGCACAAGTGTATAATTCATTGACGTTACTTATTTGATATATGTATAGTAACGTGTTGCTCATCAACTCTAATGCTATTTATACCCCCCGAGTTCATCTTACACACAGGTATACAATTAATTACCTGAAGAGGTAGTACATGTCGAAATGTCGAAAATGGCGATACCTATGATGTGTAGGTAACTGCGAGAAACAGAAATCATGGGGCCTGTGTCTCGGGTAGGTCCGAAGAAGCTGTGGAGTTGCAAGGTATCTCCGCGCTGACGTAGTTGGCGCTGAAACCTTCCCGATCTCACATCCTGATGCCTATTTGATGCCTATTGTAAAGTCAGGTGGTGTAAAGTGTATAGCTTGACATGATCTTGAAGTCACCAATGCATATGGTCAAAGCCGACAAGAACCATGGCCTTCATTTCGAACATCAAGCGATTCCATCGCAACAATGTCGCAACTGTACGTAACTCACCACTTGCTGAGATATCAGGCGCGCTCGGCGATCTAGGTACCCTTCTGCCTCTCATGATCACCCTCGCGGTCAACGGCTCAATCTCGCTATCTACAACGCTTGTGTTTTCCGGCTTCTTCAACATCGTGACCGGTGTCGTATTCGGTATTCCCCTACCGGTACAGCCTATGAAGGCTATCGCAGCGGCAGCCATAGCCTCTCGCGCCTCGGAACGCGAAACCGTAGCAGCAGGCAGCGTGGTAGCTATTGTCGTGTTGCTCCTGAGCATTACAGGTCTATTGCACTGGGTCACGCGCATAATACCGATTCCCGTAGTAAAAGGAATACAGTTCGGTGCCGGTCTCTCCCTCGTCATCTCCGCGGGTACCTCTTTGCTTCAGCCCTTCATCCATAAATGGACTCTCGCTCTCGACAACCTCGTCTGGTCCTTAGCCGCCTTCTTGCTGCTCATATTGACCCAGAGAGCATCTCGGTTTCCGTACGCTCTAATTATATTCGTTGCCGGCCTAACCCTTGCCATAATATTTGTTGCCACGAGCTCCCACCACCTACCGCATTTCCATGTCTGGCACCCCTGGTTTGCACTTCCGCGGTGGAGTGCTGATGCTATCGGCATGGGCATCGCGCAGCTGCCATTGACGACGTTAAATTCGATCATTGCCGCGAGTGCCCTCGCAACGGATCTGCTACCTAATCTACCGGCACCCAGCGTCACTGCCCTCGGCATCAGCGTCGCCAGTATGAACCTCTTGGGATGCTGGTTTGGTGCTATGCCTGTCTGTCATGGGGCTGGGGGCCTTGCGGCACAGTACAGATTTGGTGCGCGGAGCGGTGCAAGCATCATCTTACTGGGCCTATTTAAGATGATACTCGGTATTGTCTTCGGCGAGACGTTGCTGGATCTTCTAGAGGGATTTCCGAAGAGTCTTCTGGGTATTATGGTCGTTGCTGCTGGTCTGGAACTGGCAAAGGTAGGCCAGAGCCTAAACCACGGCGCCTCGGATCTATGGGAGTCGTCAGTAGATCAGGATCAACGGAGGAGGCATAAAGACATCTCAGACCAAGAAAGGCTAGAGAGGTGGACTGTCATGCTCATGACTACGGCAGGTATCTTGGCTTTCAAGAACGACGCCGTTGGCTTTACAGCTGGGATGCTCTGCCACTGGGCCTACAAGTTTGCGGATTGGATAGAGAAAAGAAGCAATCACCGGTCAGGCGAAAGACGATCACTCTTACACGCTTGAGGAATATGTACGACTTTGATCATCGAGAATGCAATAGCTTGTTTACCAAATATATGACTTAAGGCCGCTATACGGCTTATGGCGTGAAGGCTCCTTTTTTCGAGGCACCGTGATGTAATACAAAGGAATCATGGATATCTCAGTAAATAACTATCATAAATGTTAATGTTACTTCGAATATACCTATCAAAGTTACTACGAGCATACAATGCGAATATAGACTTAGTCTTGCGATTACTTAGTCTTGCGATTACTTGAGTCTAATCTCATCTTTCTATGTATCTAAACCGACTCGATGCGCCTTGAAGCCCGATGATATGTACACTCGAGCAGCACATATTGGGCATCTGCATTAGTCTCGTGTCAGTTGACCAAGGATGGTGTAAGTATGGATATATTTGCCAATCTTTCGGAAACATGTCCGCGATGATTGACGGGAAACTTTCTTATCATACATAGTATCTATCTGTTACACACGTCCAGGTGTGAGACTGGAAACAGCTGCAAAAAATAAAGTGCAGTTGACCATAGAGTTCGAGGAGCTGCTGCACTGCTGCACTGCTGCAGAAGCTAAAAGCCAAACTAAGTTAGCAGCTTTAAAGCGTCGATTAGTTCACCCCCTACTGACCAATCACAGCCAATCACAGTTAGCCAACAAGCTCTACCCGAATCTGCACGGAAAAAGCACCAGCACCTTTATAGATTAGTGGCTGTTAGTGGCTGTAAAGGGCCTTGGCGGGGAAATCAAATCAGAAGTTTGGCACTGTCAGACCATTAGAGCCATTAGAGCCATTGGAAGCCATTAACCTAGCATTTGCTGTATTTTTTTTACGTTGCGGGAAGGCGGTCACAACAATCCCGTTCCCTTCTACTGGCAGTACACCCACTTTCAACTCTCCATACCATTTTCCTAACGAATCCCTAAACCGGCACGCCGTAGACGAAGGAGCTGTATTCAATTCAACAGCGATGACTTCGTCCATAGCTGCCGCGACCTATCCTGGTCGTCAACCAGTAGTACATCATGGCTCTCCGCCGCCAAGCGTGCCGCCCGCAGCCGATCCAGATCCCGCATCTATTGCCACTGCCACTGCCGATGCGAATGCGCCGATGCCTTTTTCGGCTCAACAAGATACCTACCGCGATGATATTCAAGACATGCATTCAATGCCTTCGCCCCCTACCGTCTCCCCCCTTTCTACACCGGCTGCGACCCAAGTGAACATTGGCGATAATGATGATGTTCCCGACCTCTCTACCGGGCCTCTATCAGTTACGAATAGAGCCTCTGAGCTCGCCTCGGCCGTCCATCTGGCTTCTGCCAACTTGGGCAAAGCTACAGATACCTTTCCTATGAACCTCGATCGAAGCCAAATACTAGAAAATACACAGCGATCGCGCAACCAGGTAGAAGCTGTCGCGACTACGGACCCCGAACCTGCAGGCATGGACTTCTCGTCTCGAAACATGTCTTCCAGCTTGCGACACACCCAGGGCACTGTACAACCCAATGCCTATATCATGAATATCGCCCAGGCTAGTTCGACTCTCTTCCAGAATCAGGGGCCCTCCATTGTAGCCCCCTCTGAGGTCTCCTTGCAGGCCTCGTTTACTCCTCAGGAAAGTGATGTTGTGACGACAAGCGGCGACCGCACATCGACTAGCGCCAGCCAAAAGTTAGAATCTTTTGCCAGGATAGAATTTGCCGATAGCGTTTTTCAGATGACTACTTACGCTGTCATTATTGGTCGCGATCAACGGGCCATGGATCAAGCTAGGAGGGATGAGAAGAGGGAATTGAACTACAGACGCAAAGTGGAAGAGAACGCGAGAAATGGATTGCCTCCCCCGACGCCCCTCAACGTCGACCGCGGGAAGTTTAGTAAATCCTATGTGAGCGAAGAAGGTGGCATGCTAGGCCCTGAGTCGGATGGTGAAGATAATGTACGACCTGTGAAGAAACGCCGCCCAAGTTCTGCGAATAGGTCTCATAACGGTGACGAAGACGCTCAAAGTGACCATGTCAAGTCCAACAGGCAATATGTTTCCCACACCCCCGGAGCCGCCGCTGTAGATTTAGGCACCTTACAACCGTCGCCCTCTCATATTCCATTCGTGGGTATCCATTCTCCCGGGCCGGATATCGCAAGTAAAACTCGCGGTATATCGAGACAACATCTTAAGATCGAGTTTAATGAGAAGAGAGGCGTATTTGAAGCTGTTGCCCTACACAAGAATGGCTTTTTCTGCGATGACACGCATTACGGTCTCGACGACCCAGTTACCCTCAGGAGCGGAGATCGTCTTCAAATCAAAGATGTAGAGTTCACATTCATCCTCAACGGTGTTCAACTAGGTAAGACAGGCGGCGAGGAGTATCACGAGGAAGAGACTTCGAGCAAACGTATGTCTATTGGAGGCAAAGAGATGAGCTTTGACTTTGAACATTCCGACCATGAGAACTTCCGGGACACAAGCGAAGAGCTATCAGAGATTGAGAATGTACCGACCCCTGTCGTCGGGTCTGATGAAGGAGATGGAGAAAGAGATGGCGACGGCGAGGGTGAAGGCGAAGAAGGCGAAGAAGACGAAGAAGGTGACGATCGAGGAGTAACTGAGCTACAATCTGACGAAGTAGACGAGTCGAATATTGGCATGATCAACTCCACTGAACTTCAGGACATGCATCAGTCCCAATTTATGAATCCTGATATGCCGAAGCGGCGTGGTCCAGGACGACCGCCCAAGGATGGGATAATGTCAAAGAGGGAACGACGACTGCTTAAGAAGCAGATGCAAGAAACCTCCAAGAAGACAATCCCTCAAGACCCGCAAGGACAGAACGAGAAGATCAAACGACCGGTAGGCCGGCCTAGGAAGAATCCTGCCCCCGAAGACGGGGATAAGCCGGAGAAGAGAAAGTATAACAAACGAAGGTCAAAGGAAGAAGGCGAAGAAGGCTCCGATGCTGAGAGACGGGCGAGGGAAAAGAAAGAGAAGAAGGTCCGACCGAAGTCGCCGCCTTTGGAGCTCCGAAAGGAGGACTTCACCGAGGAGCAGCTACAGAAACCTACTAAGAATTATGGTGTTCTGATTGACGAGGCCTTAACAAATGGACCTCCAGACGGCCTAACCTTAAAGCAGATCTACAAGAGAATCATGTCAAAATATCCATGGTTCTACTTCTCTGCTGAGACAAAAGGATGGGAAAGTAGTGTTCGGCATAATCTAATTGGGAACGAAGCCTTCAAGAAGGCCGAGGGAACCGGACTTTGGTCTCGTGTTCCCGGCGTTGAACTTGATGCTGGAAAGAAGCGCAAAGCAAGCTCACCAGATCGACAGCTTGGATCAGCTCACCTTCACTCGCAGCTATCAACACAGTATTACCAAAACGGATCTTACTTACCCGCGGGCAACTACAACTACGGCCATAATGTATCACACTATACCAATGACACAAAGCAGATACCAACGGGATACCAACCTCCTCAGCCCCTTTCAGCACAATCTTCCCAGCCAGTCGTCCAGCCGGTTTACTCGACGCAATCTCCCGCACCTGCACAATTGCCCCCCGGGTATCTGGCCAGGCAATCCCATAACGCCCAGCAAAGTACTTACAGCTCGCCTTACGCGAAACCGCCCCCCCAAACTAGTATTCCCGTCAAATCAGAAGCTCCTGCAGTACAGAACACTCAGGCACTACCTGCAGCTCCAGTGCAACAACCGCTTGCGCAACCTCCCTCACAATACCAGCAAAGGCAACAGGTTTCAAGTATTCCTGAGAACATAGTTCGACCACCACTATCACCAGAAATCGAGAGAGCCATTGCTCAGTTTAGGGGAAATATGTTAAACGTTATTTCGAAGCAGACACCCCATGCTGCACAAATCATCGACTCGGCCATAAATCGTGCGCGAGGGTTATCGGTCCACACCAGTGTGCCTCCTGGGTTTGAATCGGTCGAAAAAACACTATTTAACGCGGTACAAAATATGATTACCGAAATGCAAGCGAAGCGACAACAACAGGCAACTTCTGCTTCTCCCGCTCCCGCCTCAGCTTTACCGATTGCTGCGAAGTCAACGCCGACTCCGAGCGCGCCAACGCCAAGTCCAGCACCTGCGGCCACGCTCGAAGCCGAAATACAACGCAGAATCAGGAACTTTAGGGGTACCATGGTTGTCGCTCTTAGAAAGAAGACAGACCAAGCAGAGGCTATTGTGGACTTGGCTATTAACCGAGCCCAAGGTTTGCCAAATGCTGGACCGATTCAAGGCTGGGAGGAGGCAGACAGATTAATGGTTAAGTCTGTCACGCAGATCATTGCAGATGCGCGCAGAGCGCATAGCCTCCAGGTACAACCCCCGCCTTCAGGGGCAATCCAAGCTCCATCCGCATCACCGGCTCCAACTCAGCCTCCTACTCCTACAACGGGGATAGCTCAAACTAGTCAAGGAACAGCACCAAGTGTGCCCTCACAAACTATCCCGGCAACTAGTACAAGACCAATGCCATCAGTTACCCGCCCCGGTGTTTCAATCCAACGTCCAACCCCGATGGGTATCTCGCGCCCAGGGGTAAACTCAATAAGTCGACCTTCTGTTATCCGCAAGGAGTCAACAGGTACACCAAGTTTGCCAAGCCCGGGCGTACCGGCGGCACCAATGCACAATGTCTCTAGTCCAGCGCTACCAAGTGCAGGCGTTGTTGATCAAATCGTGGGCCAGAAACGACCACACGATGATGCGTTCAACTATGGTCAAGGAACTGCCGACAGACCAGAGCCCGTTAAAGCCCCTACACCCAACATGTCTACTCCAGCACCACCTAGCGCAGGCGTCGTTGATCAAATCGGACATAAGAGATTGCGGGAGGACGGACCTGCCAATAGCAACGGAGGTGTTGGGCAACACGAGCACTATAGCAAAGTCGTCGCGCCTGCATCTGCACCTGCGCCGGTGCCCAATATATGTAGTCCTGCACCACCTAGTGCAGGCGTAGTCGACCAAATCGCTGGTCAAAAGAGGAACTTGGATGAAGGGCCTGGGAGCACGGGTTCAGAACAACCTGATGCTAAGAAGCCAGCCATCTCGTCGGCTTTAACCTAATATGCAAAGCAGACAACTAGGCGTGGTCGTTATACAGTCTCATACTATTGACTTGGAGCGATGGTGCGATGGGGGCGGATACCCGTTGGAAAGCTAGACTTTTCTAGCTTTAGCGTTCCCATTTC